GGTGCTGCTGACTAGCTGCCTTGCATTTAATCTAACAGTTCAAATTAGGGATTGCGAGAATATCCGAAAGAAACAAACTATTACATAACTTGAATCTATGTTAAAATTATTTTAGTGTAGCATTTACTAAGGCATTACTATAGTTCATCCTTTCTATAATTTTTTCCTAAATTAAGATACTTTTAATAATTAACGACTTAATAAAAATATTCGTTGGTATTTTCTATTTTACTATAATACAAGTAGTATCATATTTCAACATTTTTCGCTAAGAAGATTCATTCTCTGTACTTAAATCGCTACTTTCCATAGATTTATAATTTATTATAATGTATGTAGCCTTATATTTGAGCATCTCTCTTAGAAAAGACACATTTCTCCTAATTAAGCACACAGTTCGAATTCAGTGCTGACGCTCAAATAACAATTCTTTTACTTCTAGGAGTTGCACAGTATAGTTTGGCAAAAATAAGCAAGCTTTCCTGAGTGCTTTCCTTTGTGACTGAGTCGTAACGCCAAAAGTATGAGCATTTTAAATAACGTTTAAAAACGTACAGAGTCAAATACAAGGTATTAATTACATTATCAGTCTAGCTAAATCGTTTACAGGTCATTAATTAAATCATTAGTCCAGATAAATCAATTACAGCTCATTAGTTACATCATCAGTCCAGATAAGTAGACTACAGGACATTAATTACATTCCTGTAGTCTACTTATCTGGACTGATGATGTAATTAATGTCCTGTAATCAAGTTAACTGGACAGCTGATGTAATTAATGCCTTGTACTTGACTTAGTTGGACTGATTTAATGTCCTGTAATCAAGTTAACTGGACAGCTGATGTAATTAATTACATCATCAGTCCAGATAAGTAGACTACAGGACATTAATTACATCAGCTGTCCAGTTAACTTGATTACAGGACATTAATTACATCATCAGTCCAGATAAGTAGACTACAGGACATTAATATACATCATCAGTCCAGATAAATCGTTTTCAGGTCAGTAATTACATCATCAGTCCAGATCAGTCGTTTTCGGGTTATTAATTACAACATCAGTCCAACTAAGTCGTCTACAGGTCATTAATTACATCACCAGTCCAGATAAGTCGATTACAGGTCATTAGTTACATCATCAGTCCAGCTAACTCGTTTTCAGGTCATTAATTACATCATCAGTCCAGCTAAATCGTTTTCAGGTAATTAATTACATCATCAGTCCAGATCAGTCATTTTCGTATTATTAATTACATCATTAGTCTAGATAAGTGGATTACAGGACATTAATTACATCATCAGTCCATCTAAGTCAATTTCAAATCATTAATTACACCAGCTGTCCAGCTAACTTGCTTACAGGACATTAATTACATCAATTGTCCAGTTAAGTCGATTACAGTGTGTTTCAAACTACTATGAACATCTTTAGTAAAATAAATTAAAAAAGGAACTTTGTGAAGTCTCAATTAGATAATCTTTTGTAATTACAACCCAATAGAGAAGTTCCAAATCAAAGAAAAAAATATTCACAACATCACAACCTGGGCTAATGGCAAAACATTCTTCGTAAAACGTTTAAGTTATATTTGATCTTTTGTAAATAAGCATAAAACTACACAATGAGCTATCTGTGCTCTGCCCACCGCGGGTATCGAAGCCAAGTTTCTAGGGTTGTAAGTCCGCAGACATACCGCTGTCACTAGTGGATATCCTTGATCTACTAATACATGGTAATAATTGAGTGTTAATCTCATATCAATACTGTTCTTAGTTAAGCGCTTCTAACGACTAATCCTTGAATAATCCCTAAATAAATCCTTGAATAATCCCTAGATAAGTCCTTGAATAATCCTTAACAAGTCCTTGAATAATCTTTAAATATGACCTTGAATAATCTTTAGATATGACATTGAATAATCCTTAAATAAGTCCTTGAATAATTTTTAAATATGACCTTGAATAGTTTTTAATTATGACCTTGAATAATTTTCAAATAAATCCATGAATAATCCCTAAATAAGTTCTTGAATAATCCTTAAATAAGTCCTTGAATAATTTTCAAATATGACCTTGAATAATCCCTAAATAAGTCCTTGAATAATCCTTGAATAATTTTTAGTTATGACCTTGAATAATTTTTAAATAAATCCATGAATGATCCCTAAATAAGTTCTTGAATAATCCTTAAATAAGTCCTTGAATAATTTTTAAATATGACCTTGAATAATTTTTAGTTATGACCTTGAATAATCTTTAAATAAATCCTTGAATAATCCCTAAATAAATCCTTGAATAATCCCTAAATAAGACCTTGAATAATCTTTAAATATGATCTTGAATAATTATTTAATAAAATTCTAATACTTAGGACGATCCTATACTTTTTTTCCTTAGAGGGGCAAGACGTGGCCCATGCTCATTTTTTAATCGGGGGTCCAAGATTCGAGTCTCCTTGCCTCAGTATTGTGCTCCACACTTTAGGGATTTAAATAGATCCTTTAGGATAGTGATGGTTAAATCCCATTATTTGATTAGAGTAACCAATGAGGTGGCGGTGGGTGCTGTTGACTAGCTGTCTTGTCTCTAATCTCTAATTTCAAAATTAGGGACGGCTAGCGCCTTTTAAGATCGGAGGCATCTTATTTGGAACGAAATATAATTTGTGTAATATTGAGATCTAGTTCTTACGTACCGAGCTTCTTCACAAAGAAATGATGCATCTTTTCTAAGATAGATTTCAGTTTGACTTATGAGCGTGTTAAGGGTCCAGTGTCTGTCCGCTGTTACATATATTGTATGTTTTTACAATAAAGAGTAGATTCACCTTCAAACTAAACAACTCGTAAGTATGAGGAACAGTAGCATACATCTCCACCAGGGTTTTGTCCCGCTTTGAAACGACTGTCATTTTTATAACGCATCCATAATTGAAAATGCGAAATGTCTTTGCGGCACGAACCTTAGACTTTTCGATCTGCAGCTCGGTACATTAGCCACTAAGCGATGTTCGACTGGAGGGAAGAAAACGTTTTACACATACATAAGCATTTAAAAATTAAGTACAATTCTTTAAAGAAATACTTGCTTAGATAATACTTCCAAACAGCTAATGCTTCTGTACTCCTGAACTTTCAAGATGGCGGCAGTAACTCGTAGCCTAAAGTAATTGGACAAAAAGTATCGGCAGAAACGTTAAAAGATAAATGAACTGAATGTATTTTATATTCGAGACGCGTCCTCTTGCTATGTGCATTGCAATTAAACAAAAATAATAATTGCTAGAAGCATTGGGTTAAGAATTTAACAGACCAGTAGACAGGAGAGTTTTGGCTTCTCTAAACAACAAAGCATCGCTGTTCTTCCTCAGTGGCCGCCATTTTTACATTAGTTTGGTACGTGACAGTGTTGTCACGTTATGACCGAGAAATTCCAATCTCCATAAGAGTATTTTTTATCCAATTTTCAGTTTATTGATGCTGTGTATAGAAAAACATTTCATGTTCCAATTGTGTTCAATGAAACGTTCTTTCCATGGATGCAAGTATTTCAAAAAAAAATCATATATGTTTTAATGTTATTTTTTACCCTACTCCACCAGTGCCGGTTTTGTGAACTATTGTTAACACCCCACCCCAGTGGCTCAGCAATAAGTTTGCAGGCTTACGACACTACAATCTGGGCTTTTTTTATTCCCGTGGTGAGCAGAGTTGTGTTGTTCTACGCCTGAAAACAATCGCACCAAACTGTAATAATAACAAAGATGAAATCGGTAATGAAGGGGTAACTAATATTCTATTCACAAAACGTTAAAATAGATTTTTTTGCATCGGTTCACCTTCATTTACTGTGTGTTTGCTTTAGATTAAAACTAGTACCATTTTTGTGCAGTCTAATTAAGAGTTTAGGTGACCCAAGTTTTTAGATTTCCAATAAAACAAAACTATTGGCTATGTTTTTAAACTTTAAAGGCCCCGGCATGGCCAGGTGGTTAGGGAGCTCGACTCACAATCTGCGGGTTCGAATCCCCGTCCCACTAAATATGCTCACCCTTTCAGCCGTGGGGGCGTTATAATGTTCCAGCCAATCCCACTATTCGTTGATAAAAGAGTAGCTCAAGAGTTGGCAGTGGATGGTGACGACTAGCTGCCTTCCCTCTAGTCTTACACTGCGTAATTAGGGACGGCTAGCGCAGATAGCCCTCGTGTAGCTTTGCGCGAAATTCAAAACAAACAAGCTAATTACTAGTTCCTAATGCACGGTAATTATTAGTCTCTGATACACGGTAATTACCAGTTACGGATATATGGTAATACTAGTTTCTGACACACGGTAATTAGAAGTTTCCAATACACGGTGTACCAGTTTTCGATATACGGCAATTACCAGTCATTGATACCCGGTAATTACTAGTTTTTGATACACGGCAATTACTAGTGATACAAGGTTATTACTTGTTTCTGATACACGGTCGTTATACTGTAATTACCAGTTCCTGATACACGACAATTACTAATTTCTGATACACGCTAATTACCAGTTCCTGATGCACGGGAATCACTGGTTTCCGATACACGCTAATTACTTGTTAATGATACAAAGTAATTAGAAGTTTCGATACATGGTAATTACTAGTTTTTGATACACGGTAATTACTAGTTCCTGATACAAGATAATTACTGATACAAAGTAATTAGAAGTTTCGATACATAGTAATTACTAGTTTCGATACATGGTAATCACCAGTTCCTGATACAAGATAATTACTGATACAAAGTAATTAGAAGTTTCGATACATGGTAATTACTAGTTTTTGATACACGGTAATTACTAGTTTTTGATACATGGTAATCAACAGTTAGTGATACACGATAATTACCATTTTGACCCAGTACGGTATGTTTACAGAGTCATCATTCCATTTTGACACAGTACGGTATGCTTACAGAGTCATCATTCCATTTTGACCCAGTACGGTATGTTTACAGACATAGAATGACGATTCTTGGTTCTAATATGACACACAATGGTATGTTTACAGAATCATCATTCCATTTTGACACAGTACGGTATGTTTACAGAATCAACATTCCATTTTGACACAGTACGGTATGTTTACAGAATCATCATTCCAATTTGACACAGTACGGTATGTTTACAGAGTCATCATTCCATTTTGACACAGTACGGTATGTTTACAGAGTCATCATTCTATAGTTGACAAACTTACCATAGTGCATTACACACCACAATTACAGTAATTGGGAACTGGTTCATAAATCATTTATTTCTAATCAATAATTATGATATTTAAGAATTAGTTTATAAATTAATAATTTATAACTCTCAGTTAGAATAACAAAAATCTAGTTTATAAGTTAGTGAATAATAATACAAAGTGAGGGTACGAATGCACGCGGCTGGTAAAAATTTCACCAGATTGTTTATCTTGCACCTAATTTAACGGTTTTTATTCAAGGTAGTCACATATTTCTTGAGACGTAAGTCAAACACTTACTGGTATATTTTATACTATCTTAGGACCGAGTGGAGATTGATCCCTTGGATGACCGGAAGAGGAAACCGGTGGACTTAGCTCAAGCCAGAGGACATACAGCAGTAGTAAAGTACCTTGAACGTGAACTCCACAAGAGGAAGAGTCTGTTTCCGCGTATAGATATTTGGTAAATAGTTTATTGTAACATGCATGATTTTTAGTTACACCTGTTTGGGTCAGTGTTTAGATAAATGTGAAAGGTTTATCTTATATTGTGTGTTCCGACAAATTGGGAAGGAGTGAATACATAGAATGAAAAAAATAGATCCAAAACCTTGTGATTAGAAATTCGTATATGTTCCAGCTAATTTAGTAAACACGCTCAGAGAATCGTTCAGCGTGGATTTTAAATTTCGTTTTCTGAGAATTGTTGACAGAGTGTTTAAAGAATTGTGTAGAATGGACATTAAATCATGTCTCTAGAAATGTTTATCAATTCTTTAAACACTGAAAACACTGACAAACATTCCTAGAGACATGATTTAATGTACATTCTACTAAGAAATGAGTAGAATGTACATTAAATCATGTCTCTAGAAATGTTTATCAGTGTTTAAAGAAATGAGTAGAATTGACATTAAATCATGTCTCTTGGAATGTTTACCAGTGTTTAAAGAATTGAATTAACTGAATTAATATATATTAAACTAACCATATTTGGTTTAAGTGGTCTACACTGTATATTAAACTAACCATATTTGGTTTAAGTTGTCAACACTGTATATTAAACTAACCATATTTGGTTTAAGTGGTCTACACTGTATATTAAACTAACCATATTTGGTTTAAGTTGTCAACACTGTATATTAAACTAACCATATTTGGTTTAAGTTGTCAACACTGTATATTAAACTAACCATATTTGGTTTAAGTTGTCAACACTGTATTTTAAACTAATAGTATTTGGTTTATGTGGTCTACATTGAATATTAACTAACCATATTTGGTTTATGTGGTCTACACTGTATATTAGCTAACCATATTTGGTTTAATTGCTCTACACAGTATATTAATTATGCATATTTGGTTTAAGTTGTCAACACTGTATATTAGTTAACCATATTTGGTTTAAGTGGTCAAAACTGTATATTAACTAACCATATTTGGTTTAAGTTGTCAACACTGTATATTAACTAACCTTATTTGGTTTATGGGGTCTACACTGTATATTAACTAACCTTATTTGGTTTAAGTAGTCCACACTGTATATTAAAGAACCATATTTGGTTTAAGTGGTCAACACTGTATATTAACTAACCTTATTTGGTTTAAGTGGTCAAAACTGTATATTAACTAACAATATTTGGTTTATGTGGTCAACACTGTACATTAACTAACCATATTTGTTTTAAGTGATCAACACGATACATTAACTAACCATATTTGGTTTAAATAATCAACACTGCATATTAACTAACCATATTTGGTTTAAGTTGTAAACACTGTATATTAACTAACCATATTTGCTTTATGTTGTCAACACTGTATATTAACTAACCATATTTGGTTTAAATAGTCAACACTGTATAATAACTAACCATATTTGGTTTTAGTAGTCTACACTGTATATTAACTAACCATATTTGGTTTAATTGCTCTACACTGTATATTAACTAACCATATTTGGTCAACACTGAAAATTAATTGTTTTAAAATTTTAAGAATATTTCATTTTGAATCAATTACTAAAGAAATGTTTTTTTAAATCCCACCACTGCATTCAGACGATTTAGTTTTATTTCAGGCAACTTGTCTTTGGACCCGCAGGTAACAGCAAAGGTCCTCTTTTGTTCTTCCTGTGTAGCGTCTTCCTGTGGGGTTATCCAATGTATCTCTTTCGGGTAAAATTTTTTTATTAACGTTTTTTCATTAGTAAAGTAATTATACCATCAATAGATATAATTATACCATCAGTAGATGTAATTATACAAATAATTATACTATTAGTAATGTATCTATACCACTAATTATACCATTAGTAATGTATCTATGCCAGTAATTATACCATTGGTAAAGTAATTATACCATCAGTAGATGTAATTATACCAATAATTATACCATTAGTAATGCATTTATACCAGTAATTATACCATTAGTAATGTATTTATACCAGTAATTATACCATTAGTAGTGTAATTATACCACTAGTAATGTAATTAGACCAATAATTATACCATTAGTTATGTATCTATACCAGTAATTATACCATTAGTAGTGTAATTATACCACTAGTAATGTAATTATACCAATAATTATACCATTAGTTATGTATCTATACCAGTAATTATACCATTAGTAATGTATTTATACCAGTAATTATACCATTAGTAATGTATTTATACCAGTAATTATACCATTAGTAGTGTAATTATACCATCAGTAGATGTAATTATACCAATAATTATACCATTAGTAATGTATTTATACCAGTAATTATACCATTGGTAATGTAATTATACCATCAGTAGATGTAATTATACCA